TTATCCTGGGAGATGTTTCCTGCAGTCACAGGAATATTCCGTAATAGTTGTGTGGCAGTGTTTGCTTTGCTTTAAGAGCAATAAAGGACTTCTGGAACGAGATATGGCCTTAAGTAGTGAAAAATATTCTCCCAGTTCTTTGATAGTGGAGATCACAGGGACAAGGGCTCCTTCCTGAGAGAGGCTGCTGCAGGAATCCCCAGAGATCCTGATCTCTGTGGTTTCCCAGTTCCAGCATGGGGAATTTGTCAGTGTAGCTGTCTGGGAAGACACGAGTCTGCTGGGTGCAACTCACATGTACATGTAACCACACGTGTTACATGAGGCTGTCACAGTCTGGGATGCACATTTCTGGTAAGGCAGCATTGGAGGCATTGGCTGCCCAGCTGTCCAAAGTTGTGTTTTCTGTAATTCTCTACTGTAGCTTTACAGAGCACGGAAAGTAAAGGGAATCTACATAGTTAGAGAAAAACCTGTAATCTAATGGTAATCCTTCAGGTGAGCAATGTTCATTTTTGTTCCATGCATTTTGGAAGTTATAAATAGCACTAACAGGTTTTCCCCAAGGTCTGTTTTGTTCAGGTACAGTGTCAATTAAGCTCATTTTGGAACAGTATTTTGTGTATTTTCACTCCTTGGTTGGCCCTGTAAATACGCTGTGTATTGTTCAGACCTTTACCATCACCAAAAACAGTGCAGCCTTTCAAAGTGATTTATTTCTGCCTTGTCCATGTGCTGTATAAACCTTGGCTATTGTGTTTTCAGTGTATGGCATGACCTCATCTTACTGATGTAAAGTGATGTATAGTGAGACTAAAATAAGAGGCTACCAGTCTTTTGGGGATTTTCAATTCAAAGTTGGTAGATTTGGTTTTTTATTCTGTTTTTAATTTGTTTTTCTATTTTTTTTTTTCACTTGTTCCATACATGGCTTTCATCCAACTTGGTTGCAACAAGTGAACATTCAGTCATTTTGTACTTCACTTTAGACAGCCATTAAATGAGGACTACCCACTTAATGAACATTTGAGAAAGGGCTGGTTCAAGTGATTTATGGATATAACGTCACATAGAAACTTTATAGTAGAGACATGAAAAGAATCTAAATATCCAGAGTAGTATGCTGTTGTCTTCACTACAGCACATCCCCCTTCTTCCTTCTTTAGCCTTCTTCATTCATTGCATGCACAATCATGGCAACAAAAGAGGCAAGGGATCCTTCAGACAACAGGATCCTCTGTTTGAGTACCTCAATTCATCTCCCAGGGCAGAGAGATGAATAGTCATGTAAATGAAGAACATGTCCTAGACCTACACAGAAGGTGGCCAAATTAAGGTTACCTAGGCAGACCTGAGAGCTGGATGTTGGTTGCATTTGAGAGCTGTCCTTTGGAAAACAGTGCTTTCCATTTTTTGTAAAAAAATGTTCTTTTTTATTCTGTTTTATGGAATTACGTTTGTAACAATGTAAGTTAGTTATCAGGAGGACACAGCAGAGACCACTGCTTGTGAGGTAATGGTGAGAGTCAGGAAAGCTGCAACACAAAGCATAGGAAAGCCTCAAAGGGGGATCATGGCACAGATGGTTCTGTTGTTCCCCTTCCCACTCAGAAGAGAGACTCCAAATCTCCACTATATGCCTTATTTCTCCCTGGGGAAAGCAGGCAGTGCCAGAAAGCTGAGGCTTGTTTACTTTGCCTTCTCTCCTTGGAACCAAAGCTTTACCACACGGGCTCCTTGAATAGCTCCTTCTTCCTAGCCAGCAAGAGTTACTTCTCCCAGGAGTCAAAGCAAGAGCTGTGCTGCTGCATTCTGAGTGGGCGTTTGCATTCTTCTCATTTGCCTGTGCTGTGGCTAACGTGGCACTGGACCTCACATGCCTAGAAAATGTCTGTGACGTGGGTGGAAAAATGTAAGCACAGTAGATACAACAGTTCTGTTATTGGGCATTTGGATTTTTTTAAATTTTTATATATAATAAACAAAGGGTTTGTGCTTTAATTTTAATTGTGTTTTGGCTTGAAAACATTTTTAATATGGGATGAAAAAAGTAGTAAGAAACATTTAGTTCCAACTTTTAAAGTAGGAACTAACAAAAGACTATAAAACACTCTCAGTCCCCAAATTTATGAATGCACACTACTGAATTGACTTAATTATTACTAACCAAAGGATTTTCAAGGTACAAAGTTTATAAAGCAAGAACAGGATGTTCTCTGGTACAGGTCCTTTCGTCTGGAAATTACCCATGCTAGAAACAAATCAAGCCCCATCTCATTTCAGAAAAAAACATACCCCTTTTGTCCCAGGCTTTTGGGCAGCTGCTGGCTCCAGAACCCTTGGTTCTGGAGAAACTGGCAACATTTTCTTTGTCTCTGTCCTTCAGAATTTCATTGTTGTGGAGAATTGTGCTACCTTCATTCCATGTACTAAGAAAATGTTACAGCTTCTAGTCTAAGCCAAACACTGCAAATCCAGCGCTCTCAGGAACAATTCATAATGCTTTTGTTGCCATGAGCGAGATGGGGTGACACCTGGATTTGGGAGTGATGTCTACAAGAGTCCATCTGTAGCCACAAGAAGTTCTAATGAGAACAACTCTCCTGAGGTACAATTTAGGAATGATTAAGACTGTGTATGACTTGGACTAATAAATAATTTGCATACCTCAGCAAATTCCCCAGCCACAAACAAACTGCAGTCTGATAATAAATGTCAAGTGGTGGGGGGAGCAAGAATATGAAGAACTGATCTGTGGTATCAACTGCATGGCTTCAAAATGTTGACGTGTCTTGGCTTGTGACAGAAATCCAGCAGTTAGTCCACCTCTCATGTTTTTCCATCTACCGAGAAATCTATCTGTGGTTTCTAAATTTATCTCCCTTTGCCACTTCCTTGATCAGTGGTAGATGTTTTTGCTGTTTCAAAAACCTGAAATTGAAATATTAATGGTCATCACAAATGAAGTGTCACTTATCTGAGTATACAACCCAAAAGAAGTTTTAATGATTCTATTACTCCATTCAGTAAATAAAATTTCTTCCTCCTTTCTGTTTAAACATTAGCTGTAAGTTCTGATGGAATTTTTAGACTGATGTCATATAGTGCAACAAAACCAAAGGGCTCTGCAATCTGATTCAACATTTATAGTATATGTGAACATTTGCTTACAGAACACATTTCTCATAATGTGTTTGCCACTTCTTAAGTTGAAGCACTGCCGAATGTCATGGTCTTTAGAGAAAAATCACTTTATTTCAAGAAAATAATATCACTTTTGGCCAGAATTTTATCTGTTTGTCTAACTAGGTACACAGGACCTCCAGAGGGATGTGCTCACTGCTCCTCTTCCTCAGCAGCTCTGGAGGTTCTTACTTCAGAGTACAATTCTTCTTTGCCCCCGTTTCAACTAGGACTCACTGTCCAAGGAACAACCAGACTTCTGTGGTGCTGCCTTTCCTGCCAACAGGAAAGGCTGTTGTTCATCTAAGGGCCATACAATGCACCGCAACAATACCTTGTGCAAAAACTGAAATGGAAGGAAAGGGCAGATTCTGGATGTGCTGATCCAGTTTCCTAGCTTTTGTTCGTGCTTAAGAAGACCATGCATTTTCAGTTGACCTATGCTACTTACAGCTTTTTGGGAGCCTCCGATCTCGTTAAAGAGCCTGTCTGTCAAAAGGCTTTCTCTGTGCACTTTTTCCCTTACCAAGTGGTGAAACTTTGAGATGTAATCAGCTGTATCTTATTCGTCATGACAGCAATGAAACCATTTAAGCCACTGATGCAAATCAAATGTGATCTTAATGTTATTCCTAAACAGAAAAACTCAAAGCAACTCCAGAGACTAAGGTCTCACTTCATCACGTGTAAAACAAATACATACCCTTCATATATTTATGAGTATTTGATTACTATTATTAGTATTACTGTTATTAGTCTTGAAATCATTACCTGCATTACTTCTTTGTCTCAAACTTAGAGTAGCTAATGGCTACACAGCTATTGCCTCTGGTTATCAGTCAGTCTTTTGTTCCTTCTCAAAAAAGCACTTTGGTTGCTCTGCTTTAAGAAAATGGAAAATCTTACTGAACTCATTTATCCCAGGAAACCAGGAGTCAGAATTTATTGGATTGGAAATAATAGTGCAGCCGTCTAGATGTGGGTTCTTCACCTCGCTCTTGTGGCAAAATCAAGAGTTAAAGGAGTATATTCACCTCCAGTAATAACACACTCAGATTCTAGTCAAATTAAATGAACTGTTAATGTTTTGAGATGAGTTGTGAGGAGAATAATCTATGTCAGCTCAATGCTTCCTTTTTTTTTTCCCCTTTTCTCTGATTTAGAATTTAATATTTCCAGCACTTCAGGATTAGGATATAAATGTTACCATAATGCTGTTTTAAAGCTACTTACTAAGCTCTACAGAACTTTTATTTCTTAATTATGCAGCAACCAGAATAACCATGTCCTGGTGCATAATTGGGGCCATTAAGTATTACTAAAAAAACTCTTTCCTT